CCTGACATTTTTATGCCACCAGTTTAGATATGAATTTTACTTTTCTCCTGTACATAAAGAAATTATAACAAAATCCCTTCAAGATACCCTTTATGATTAAACTTTGTAAATACAAAAAAAAATAGGTGGAAGAAATTTCTCTGCATGGAAATTAAGTTTAAATATAAAGCACCATGGTAACCCAAAGTCATGAGTATAACACTTAACTATAAAGCACATCAAGGCAGGGATATGTAATGACAACTGGGCTATGGGGGTGATTAAAGGATTACTATGTTTATGGGGAAGATGCATTGTTTATAATCTTTGTAAATAAATGGTTTCACAGTGAAGCCTCTCTAATGAAGTGTTTATAAACACATATTTATAAAATATACTACATTTTCAGAGGTACAGTTATTATGCACTAAGCCATAATCACTTTTATGAGGGGATTTGTGGAATCTTTTCCTTCTAAGTGAAGTGGACCTGGAAGTAAAAATTGATGCCAAGTCTCTTAAGGGCATCTACAGCTTAGACAACAACCTCCTGAGTCATCCAGTCAGTTGTCTGAAATCAACTACTCAGCACCCAAAACACTGAGGGTTTCTTCTATAGTGGGCATAGTTTGAGCTCTGAGGATGCCACAGTGATCAATGGCAAGTTGCTGTCTTCTTACTGGGTAACTAACAAATAGTTTACCATGTGCCTGTAGCTATTCTAAGCACTTTAGGTATAGTAACCCATTTAATTAGCAGGCTAACACTATGGGTTGAAAACTTTTATTAACTTCATTTTACAAATGAAGAGGTAAAAGTACACAGTTTAAGTAACTTTCCTAGCTAACTTGATTTCTATTCTCTCCACTATTTCCTTACAAATGAAATTATATTCTGCAGACTCCACTTTTATTCTTTTTCCCACTCAGCATCACAAAACACACACACACACACACACACACACACTCAGAGTCAGCTATGGTTTATGAAAGGCATACGGTCATTCAATATATGACCTTTAGCAAGTCACTTCACATCAATAAACTTCAGCTTCTTTCTTTGTAAAATGAATAAAAACAGAGCACCTATTATTCATAAGGTTGTTGCCACCAGAAAACGAGATAGTATATGTAAGGTTCATAAGCACAGGAGATGGAGATGGTACAGAATAAGCACTCAAATGTTAGCCATTAATATTGTTATTTGTTGTTTAATAACGAGTGGAGATGGAAACACAAACATTCTTTGGTTGTTTGCTAATATTTGACAGACATGAAAACTCTTACATATCATAATTATGAAAAAACAATCCAAGTATAAGATAATGAGTAACAGGTTCAAATTATGAGCAGAATATTTTTTACTACAGCCATGCATTTTAGTTAAAGCTAACGTGTCTAATCTAGGTGTTTCTATTTTTCTTCACTATTTTAGGAGACTGTATGCTCTTATTTACGTGATAAAAGCACAGGTAGAACAGTTCTAAACTTACCACAGACACTTATACAAAGGATTTTACCAGTGTAATGGCCTCACCGGAACATCAAGTAACATGAAAAGTAAATATGGAGTGAAAGTAGGCTGAACTTGACCAAAATTAGTGAAAACTTCTGAAGAATGAAGGAACCAAATTAAAAGAGAGAAAAAGATCCTAAATGAACATTCCTCAAAATAAAATACACACACACACCTTTAAAATGATGAAACAAGCTACTGTTACTTTCTTCATCTTTACAAGGGGTCCCACAGTGCTCACAGTAAGAGCAGCCACTTTCATTGCTGAGTACTGTGTCCTCTACTTTAGATGCATTGCCTCATTTAATCCTACTACAAACCTGAGAAATGGTAGGTTTTTTTTGTTGTTGTTGTTTTTTCAGATAGAGAAATTGGTGCTTGAAGATCTCAGAGACTAGTAGAGAACACCAGTGACATGCTCTCGTGGGTCCAGAGAGAAATGGCAACCCACTCATCCTCTTCGCCTTTCAGTTTTGTTCATTGGCTTTCTTCCATCCAGCACAATACCTATAACAAAGCTTGCCCCACTGGAAAAGACAGACCATAGCAACTTTAGCTCCTCCTGCTCTAAGTGTCTATGTAGGCTGGCAGGGTCATCTACTGCCACACCCTGCATAGTGATCCTCTCACCGTACCAGCGAAAGCACATACACTCTTTGAATAATCTGCTTTATCATCACAGTCAGAGTACAAAGCTAAATAAAAACTGAATTCTTAAATATGTGTCACACTTAGCATATACATATTTATATACTGCAAAAAGGTGAAACGTTCCATAATATGAGCCTGTGAAATAGAAACAAATTTTTTTAATCTGTGAATCTGCCACAGTATAGCATAAACTATAACCTATACATGATGTATAGTTGCATAATGAATATTTTGCAAATGGAAGAAAAACTCCCCTATAAATTTCAAAGGTTTTACTTTTGTCATTTAACATAGGTGTCTAGATTTTTTTAGTGTCAGTTTTACCAGTTCAGACTTTGCAGTCAAACATACCTAGAAGTAAATCCAATCTCTAGGCACTGCCATTTACTTGCTGTTGATCAGAGGAGAGTTACCTGTTATAGTTGCTGTTTTTCAATTGTAAAATGGAGATAATGCCATCTGTTTGACAGGACCATTGTGAGAGCTTAACGTGACCATGTATTTAAAAAGCTAAGCATGACAGCAGCAGTAAGTGCTCACTTTTACTAATAAAATTAAGGCATTTAAGGTCATTATTATAATAATTATTATTATCCCAATTACAGTCAACTTTATTATAATTATCAAGAAAAAATTATCATTTCTTTCATTAGATCGTTCACTAGATACCTAGGTATATAAGTAATTATTAAATTAACAAACTATTTTTATTTAATAGGATGGAATACTGCACAATACTGTACAGTACTCCTTTTTACAGTACTCCAAAGCATATCACCAATCACCAGTTGTGTGTGTGTGTGTGTGTGTGTGTGAGTGAGAGACACTATTATGGTCCAAATCATGTATTATTCTTTTCAGGGAACAGTAAGATGTTCCCTGTTATATATATAAATAACTAATATACAACATAGATTACAGCAAATCATAAAAAACTTACACAAGTGTTTAGGTTATAACAAAGTACATAACCATTTTATTAGAATTTGGAAATGATAGTAGTTTAAAATATGGATCTCAGTATTTCTTTCTTGCTAGGCATAGATGTTAGAATCATAGAGAGTTCTTGTTTTGCCCCCTAAAATGGCATTCCCAGAAATCAATCTGTTTCCATAGCACCAAAATCCAGAATTTGGAGGAAGCCTTTATTTGTGAATTATGGAAAGTGGTAAGCCCTATGAGAATCTAAATCAAGATAGCCAAGTAAAGGATTATTTTACAACCACTAGCAAAAATCATATTGTATTCCTGGTTACAATGAAGTCATAAATAATGATAATCAAATTTAAAATGTACCTCTTAATCTTGTATTAAAATAATGGTATAGTATTCTAGTCTATAACTGCACATGAAAATGTTATATTTAGTTTTTAATTACATATATATTAGATATTGTTAGACAATCTAATAAAAGAACTGAGTATCTTTCCTTTGTAGAGCATTAATTTGTATACTAAAAACAAATTAAATTAGGGTATGAAGTACGTAGAAAAATAATAATAGCCCCACCTGAACTGATATTAATTTTGTGCAAAATTAAAATTTCACAAGGTCATAAACTGAAGAATGAAAAAGTTTATCTTAAACTTCAAAATATGAAATGGAGACTGAGTTTTAAGAAATACTTCCCTTCTAAATTTGCTGAAAAATCTATTGTAGTATACTATTGAAGAAGGACAACCTCTTTGAAATATCAGGCTCCCAACAGTTTATATACAGTTGATATATTTTTCTAATAAAGGCATTGGGCATTAAAAGGAGAATAAAGCAATACTGAATTTTGTTTTGTTCAATTAAAAAATAATTTCAACCCTAAGGGAAAAAATAACAATAATACAACACTAACTGAGAACAGCGCGATATAAGCAGCATCTGAAAATGAGTATTTTTTTTAAAAAATTTTGTCAAGTTTATTTTAAAGTTATTTGATGTTTTATGAATTGGCATTTTGAATTTTATAAAAAATAACTCGGTTTGAAGATATTACAATGTTCATTAAAACTAAACATTGAGGGCCTCCCAGTGGCGCAGCGGTTGAGCGCTGGGTTGCAAAGCTGCCTGCAGCCTCTGCAGCGCTGGTTCGATCCCCGGCTGCTCCTGGGCCACCAGAGGAGGGTCCCACATGGCGCGCAGACCTCGCCTGCCGCCCGCTGCTCCCCTCAGCAGTGTACTTCGGTCCTTCTGCCTGCTCTGCTCCCCGCTCTGGCTCTGGTGAATTCTCTCACCCTCCGCGCTTCTGACTGTACCCGGTGCTTGTGTAAATAAATAAATAAACAAACAAACAAATAAATAAATCTTAAAAAAAAAAAATTCAAATTCTTAAAAAAAAAAATTCAAATTCTTAAAAAAAAAAACAAAAAAACTAAACATTGAAAGGTAAAATACTCTTCAATGCCAAAGTACAGGTAGGTTTTAGATTTGCTGAAGTTAAATTACCATCTGAGAAATGTTTAATATACTTCAGAATTAACATTGAAATTTTTCAAATATCTCTCCTGATAATTTTATCTAAAATGATTTATTTTAAAGCAGTAAGAGCAATAGATGAGGACTAGCTTAAAGAGACAACAGCTTAGAATCTTATTGTCCTCTGCTGATAGAAAAGTATGTTTTTTAATACTGTATTTAGCTATAAAACACCCATTTTTCCTTGATAAAAGATACTTTTTGGGATTATTAATAAGTTGGCTCTAGGTTTTAAAGAAAAAATTTGTGCAATAGAGTGTTACATGGTAGAAGAAAAATTATTTGCATCTTTAAGTTATAAACAATACTTTGAGGCATCCATTCTCTTCACTTAGTGCAATTTATTTTTCTACATGTCTCAGTAGCAAACAATGTTATTTAGACTCTAACCTGGCACGCTACAACCTCTGGCCCGCCCTTGAGCCCTTCCATTGCAAAGGTCTCCAGGTGCAGTTTGGGTAGCTGCAGGGTGAAGTCATTCCTACTTGCCGCAGTCCGTGACAGCGAGATCTGATCTCTGACCTAAAGGGAAAAAAACAGCATCAATGGTAATTCCCCTTCAGACACATTAACTGGGATGAACTGGGTCCCCTTGAGCCCACTGAGTGGACTTGCATTGATCGCTGGACCTGAAATCCATGAATAAATTTAGGACTAATTGATTTTTCGTTGCAAATAAATCTCTAATTCAGAGTGCTGGGGGAGAATGTTAAGAAGAAAAAGCATCTTCCTGCTTGAAATGAGGAAGGGAAGAAGAGTCACTAGAGCTCTTCTGATCAAGAGGTTTTGAATTATTTTTTCCACTCTCAAAAGAAAAAGGCAGAGGGGAAAAAATCCACAAAATCAAAAACAAACAGAAAGTCCCTAATTATTATCATTTAATAACATGTTTAATTTAACTAGTATTAACTGATAAATATTGGACAGTTATTAAGTACTAGTCACTGGAAGAAACTTAAGTAATATGTACCCCAGAATAGAAACAAATTTTCTCAACATACCAGGTGACTTAAAAAATATACTAGTAAAAGGTTTGTTTGCCATTTTCACTCTTAAGAAATTTGAGTCTTAATAATTAAAAAACATATAATCCAACTCAGTCACACAACCTCTCAATAAGGTAAATAAAATGAATAGTATTTGTACTAAATTTTAAGAATGCAGAGAGGTAACAATACAAATATCACAGATACAGAAGAAATATCAATTCTTTAGCCAGTATAGGAATCACATGCAGTTGATATTACACTGCCACCTTCTGGACAAATGAGAAAATATGCCTTTTATAACCAACATATAAGTAAACACTCAAACATATTTTCATTTTTCAATTTCCAAACTTAGTAAGAGTCTTAAATATACCATACTTTAGTTTTCTTTCTAAAATAAATGACTTCTCATTTTAAGCATATAGTTTAATGACAGGATTTTTCATATGTAGGAATATTTTCTATCTTCATTTTTGAATTTCAGGTTTTAAAAATATTATCTCTTTGTTACCATATATTTGGTAAATATTATAAAAATTAGCCTAAATCTTAGGACTAAATGAGTTTTTAATGAGGCAGCAAGGATCATGAGTGGGGAAAACATTAAAAGTAACCCTAATTACTCACATAAATACAATTATATTTTTAGTTTTATTTGAGCAACTTCAAATGTAACTTGACAAAACAGGTGATATAAAACCTCTTCATTTTTCTATTCTGTTTTGGAAGCTTGTGAAACTAAGTCATTTCTTATCTTATGAATGAACTATCATACTAGGTAGGGTTTCCTTAAACCAGCACACCCACGCGAATATATGAATGCATCTTTAATTGTTCATATCTGTAAGTATAATTGCACTCCCAAGTTGATCTGAAAAATTTCTGTCAATAGTGAAATGTCAACATATAAACTGTAAAATACACTATAATGCCATGTTATAATAATTTGAGTACTACATGCATGTTGGAGTCCCAATTCAGTATGTATATTTACCTGTAACAAATATTCTCCAGAGCCTTCAGTCAAGATGAAAGAATACAAACAAACTTGCTTAATGTAACAAAATAAATCATATTTTACAAATGTATTTACTTCAGGCTTTATATTCAGTGTATGGATACCTTCCCTGCTTTTTTTTTTTTTTTTTTTTGTCACCAATGTGCACTCAGATAAAAGAAAACATTAATGTGGATTAAGGTACTGAGAATTTATCAACATCAAACCACTAGTGTTTTGCCTTCTACCCTTCTGAACCATAGTCAATAGATCTAAATATTTTACTGCACCCTGGCCAATTCATTGTTTGATGTTTAAAAACTCACCCAGAATCAAAGAAAATTTATTAAATTTGAGCCCCCAAATGAGATACTATTAGCTTTGAAAGTCAAGTTTAACTGCGATATTGATGATTCTCTTTTTTCTGTGACAAAATTCACTAGGGAAATCCTGGATGTCAAAGTACAAAAGCAGATTGCTAACACAGGCAAAAGGGGGTGGGGGGAGCTATAAGCAATGTAGGTATAATCCACAACACAGCTCAAGCACTGGGGGTCCTTTAATCTGATTAATATCAAGCACCATACTTCAGCTGTGAAGCTTGACATACAACAACAGTAAGCCACATTTCTCTAAATAAACTTTATGAACAATATTTAGGTTGGGCATTTGGCATTAAAACTGTGATTTATTGTCAAATTGGTTTCCTCACTATACCATCATTTAATTTATTAAATTATTCTTTATTATTCTTTAAATTAGATAGAAAAAAACCTCAAATTATTCTTTAAATTAGATAGAAAAAAACCTCAAATGGAATTGTTTTACTAAGCCTAATGATGGACATCAGAATTACAACATCATGTGAATAATATGCATGTGTTAATACTTTCATTTAATTATACATTGTCTGCTGATTGGTGACAGTGCCATCAAGAGACAGTGACCCATGAAATATAACAGAATATCAGAAATATTTCTACTAAAATTCAAGAGTTTTTCCCATTTTTAAATTAAACCAAACTCTGAGAGTAAGCATCTTTAAAACGTTCTCCCAAGAGTTCTAGAGAAGAAAAAAAAATTAAGTTTTGGAAAGGTCTGGGTAAGAGTTCTTATTTTAATGTATAATGGGAGTGAAAGCATCATATTGAGAAAATACAAGACAGTGATACAAGCAAGTAAAATGTAATAGTGAAGCAAAGGAGCAAGAAAGGAAGATGACAAGGAAAGGGAATATTAAAGAATGTAAATGGAAGACTATTCAAAAGAATGCAGAAGGCAAGTTTGAGTTTCAGAGTATGAACAAAGATAAATAGAGAAAACAAGTAAGAAAACGACTCTCACTTTCTTATACTAAATTTGTTCATGAAAAAAAGAAATAGAACATACAGGCTGAAAACAAAATAACTAAAGTGAAAAACAAATAAGTAGAATTTCATTAGGAATACTGCTCATTAGATATAAAATATTCATTCCAAAAGTGAGAAACTAAAGAAAAATTTTACTACCAATTTTTTTGAATAATATTAGAATAGCAACTTTTTTTCTTAAAAGAAAGAGGAGGTTCACCTTTCAAAATACATATTTTAAAATTAATTGGGATTCAAATACCATCATAACCTATCCATGGATTATATTATAATTTGTTTTCAAATTAAGTTTAAATTATAGTTTCCAATGCCAGTATTTAACTGTTTACAGCACATCATTATCCATTCTATAATTAATATTTTATGCCATTTCAGTTATAAGTTATAAGTAACATAGATAAGAACTATACACACACACACACACAATGTTATTCTACTTCAAAATGGTTAATAGGTCATATTTTAACATAATAAAATTTTTAAGAGTTGACAATATAAATCTCAATTGTTAAATCATACACACTTTTATAACATTCTATAAAACCTGTACAACCTCATAATATTTGGACAAAGAATAAAGAAATATACCTGTGTTATTCTATTTTAAAATTTGGTTTTTAGAAAGAGTAATTAACTTTTTCCTTTTCTTATCACAAACTTTCAGAAAGCAGATATTCTAATAGATAAACCACAAAAAAACAAAAAAGATATATGTAGAAAAAAATTTCTAAGAAGTCAGATCATTGTTATGAAATATATATAGTTTATATTACAACCTAGTTGCAGGTTTAAATGATTCATATAATTCATGTTGTACTGTTCCTATCCTATGCCTTTGATTACCCTTTACTAACAGGTCATCCATATGTTTTCCAATTTTCTGTACCCCTACAATACACCAAAAATACTATTTCTGCTAGGTATGTCAACTATGAAATTAAATTAGCTATTTTTAGAAAAACTACTCAGTTCTTAAAATGTGAACCTGAATCTCTTTATCGTGTACAACTATAATTCCCTCTAGACCCAATGTTCCAATTAAAAAAAACCAAACTCATGAAATGTTGTATTAGTTGTTTTCACCAATGAATACCAAGGAAGAAGCAGTAAGGGTTGTAGACAAAAACTCAGATATATTTAACACATGCAAAGAGAGGTACACAATGCCAGAATCATGAATGTCAGGAAAAAGTAAATGATATTAAACTTCACATCATACTCCTAATCTGCCAAAAATTTTATTTGTTCCAATCTATTATGGCCTCCAAAGCTACAAAACAAGCATTCTCACCATAAATAGATGTTCCCATCAAATACAGACCTCTACAATTAGTTCTGTAACCTTCAATCTTATTATTCTGTGTTCAGTTTTACTATGCCTCCATTTCCAGCCTTCCAAAAGTCTACTCACTCTTCTGTACTTTCTTCCACTTCCATTGACTCCTTAATTGCCTTCCCTGTTTTTAAAATTCTATCCTACACACTAAAGCAGACTATGCACTATTTTCCAATCTATGCACTAGAGAGCAATGTGAGTTTGGCATATTGTAGCCTAAGGATCAAATCCCACACACTGCCTGTTATTTTAAATAAAGTTTTATTAGAACACAGCCACACCCTTCCATATACCTACTGACTCTGGCTACCACAGAGCTAAGTAGTAGAGACAGAGACATATAGTCCATAAAACCTAAAATATTATCTAGCCCTTTACAAAAAACATTAGCCACCCACTGCCTTAGATGAATAGAAGCAAAGATAACATTTTTACTATCTATTAAAGCTTTTTTTAATGTCTGCTTCTCACCAAAGAATGTATGAACAATTTTCAGTGAATTGTTTTTATATCGCTATCTTACGGAAACTTCTGGCTCCTTATTTCAAGGTTTGGTTTTTTTTGTGTGTGTGTGTGAAATAAGTGTACTGTCTGCCAGGTGCATTTTCAAGTTTTACATAATTTCATATATAACATTTTGAGTTAATTTTCCTGGCACAATTACTGACAGCCCATTTTAATAACTAATCAACAGAAAATTTGGTTAAATAAATATAACAGACATACTAGAAAGTTTTTCATAAACAGAGAAGAGAATCAGCCTGAGTTAACTATATACACTGTAATACCACTTGTGGCAAGAAAAAGTCCGTGCATACAGAATCTCTTGA